TGGCTGCTATTTTTACCTTACGTTTGGTTTGCAGGCATGGATGCTTTCACGCTCGATCCTGCTGAAGCAGCACTCTGAGGGGTATCTCTGCTTGCACCCCGAGGAAGGTGATAAATCACCTGAGCCAACACCTCAGCAGCCTTTCACCACCTGGCATTTGAGAGCAGCCACCATCTGCCAATCTGCTAGAACAACTTACCCCCAAATGGCCCACTGAGGTGAACAAATAACATTCAAAGAACGATGTCTGCGAATTTTCATCATTTTATTTATTGTGTAATTTATCATGACATACTCTAAATCTCACCACTGTCAGCCAAGAGTGAATAAATTGCTTTCACAATAATTTTAACCAAAAATTCTTTTTTTTTGTTTTCTTTTTCCTTTTTGGTCAAACTCTTCACAGGTAAAGCCATGCAAGACATTAATTTATTCTGGGAGAAGGTATTTAAGTATCTAGGTCACTATTCTGGGCTTCAAACACACCTATCATCTGCAACTAACTCATTTCAAACTGACAGTGTATTTATCAAATAATGTGAAATTACCACAGTTTTTCATTTATAAACACTCTTATTAACTGTGTGTTCATTCTGTAAAAATATCTTTGCACTGTGATTATTACTGTTTCTTTCTTTCTTTCTTTCCAGCCTTTCCTTCCAGCTTTTCTGCCAAGCTTTAAAGATTTAATAGAGTCTTTGGGTAGAGGTCAGCAAGAAGTCGGTTTACAGCATCTTCCCAGTGTGTTCCTGTATTCTTGGCTAAAAGCAATCCAGTGTCAGCCCAACTAAAGGAACCTCCAACTGGAGCTGAACATTGTTTATGAGACAGAAAATCCATAGCATCTCATGGTGTAAACTGTATTACCCAGTTGCTACAGAGAGGCCTTTTAGGTATGCAACAATATAGTGGCTGTTTTGCTTGTGGTACATTTGGAATTTTTAGAACAAAATCACTTAAAACATTAACAAATTACATCCACACGCAATCTTTTGTTCACGGAGATGTTTATTTATGCCTTCAATGCTTGTAGGGAATACGGTTTCACTACAAAAAGTGTCTCAGAGAAACTCCATTCAAAATCTAGACTTAAGAATGAAGGGAAAAAAATATACTTTCAGCTGTACCAGTCCTGAGTTAAGAAGTAAAAAGAAAAGTCCCTTAGAGAGATAGGAAACAGCACCAATAAAACTGGAGGGCTTCTTACTGTTATCTGCTCATGCTTACCTGCTTGAGAATTGGTAAAATTTTGGTGGGAAGAATCACTTTATTAGAACGTGGACCTGACTAAGATTCACAGTCCCAGTCTGTCGACAAAAATATCACGGATTCTTTTACAATCAGAATTCAGGGCGCCAGTTTTACTTTGCATTAAAGTAGTCAGGACTGCTAACAGCACAACTGCTGCCCCAGGGTGTAACAATTTCTCTTAGTTAAACGGGTCAATGAATATTTACTTAATAAACCTATTTTAATAAATATTTCCTAACCACCACTGAGTTCCCAAAAGGTTACATTTTTCTTAGAAGCATACCACCCATATGTAATTGTAAACCTGCGGTAACATCACATCTCCAAATAAGTCCAGTAGCTTACATTCAGTCTCTTGCTCCCTCAGTGAAAGGATTTCAAGCCATTTGCAATGCTCAGTTCTTAACATCCAGGGCACTAGGAATCAATCTGACAGTGTAAATACTTCTAAGAGTCCGAACAGAAAAGGCACTTAGTCTTTTTGGGGAAGACACCTGACAGATATATTTTATTTTTTCAAAACAAGCCCTTTTTCTGTCAATAAAATCTTTAAAACTAACTTTAGATAAACATATACCCTATGAATAAAACCAAGTTCTGTGCCCTTTCCAAGGGAAGGTAATATCACTCCTGATTGGGAAATCAAGTGTGAGAGAATCCAGAAACATTCCTGCAGAAGTTCTGTTCTTTTTTCTGTGATATCCTAGTAGGCTACCACAGCCGCCTAAAAGAAAAATGTATTCTCCAAAGAATTTTCATTTTGTAAACCGAAAGCCATAGCCATTTCTGGACTGTTTCTTATTAGGTGCTTGTATCGGCAATAAAATCTAAGATTCTAATGGATTTTAACCAGGAATGTGCCAGTTACAATCAGTAACCTGTGAGTCCATGCAGGAGAGTAAATCCCCTGTCCAACTTCCTTCCTCTCAGCTGACTCACTGCCTCAGCGATGCTCTCCATAAGGCACTTAGCAACAGGAAATTTAAAGAGCATCCGACAATGCCATTAGTAGTTTTGATATGTCTGTGGGGGTGCCTCAATATTACCTGGCTCAGGTATGGAATAATCACTCAAAATAGCCATAGGAGTCACAAAATTCTTTCCAGAAGCCACATCCATTCTAGTCTTTGTTCCTATTACTCTTTCAGCACAAAGTTATCCCTTTTTTCTAGCAGTCCGGGAATCTGACCATCTAAAACTGGGTAATGTCTTAATGTACCAGAAGTGTCTGTTTCGATCCTGATCAGCTCTTTAATAAAAACTACTGCCCTTTCAACACGGATGACCTAAGAGAGAGAGATGCTGATGGTGTCTAACATGAACTTTGCAAATCCCTACATCTATCTTTAGGTCTAAAGTCAAGAACTGCAAAGCAAGAGACACTGATATGGAGTGTGGGATGCTGCCTTCTTCCAACACAGAGAAGGGCAGACTGAACTTAGGAGGAAGCTGTAGCGGAGAGGCTTTTCTAGGTATCACTCATTTTTCTTCCTCCCCTTCTTCCTCCTCTTGTTGGACTGAGGGCTTCAGAGCATTGTAAGGTAGAATATTTTAGAAAGAGAAGCTGCCTGCTCAAAATTTCTGTAGAAAAGTTGAAAAAAAAGGCTCAGTATCTGTGCACTCTCTTTGGTGGATCCTTTCCTTAGTCTGCTCACAAAACATTTCCCGAAGTATTTCTAACAGAAGCCTTCACATACTGCAATTCACCTGGCCCAGTCACACCTCCAGCAGGGACAGAGCATTTTGCTATTCTTCCACGTGTGGAATAAGGGATTGGCAGGCATGTGGATAGGAAGCCCAGTAATGGCATTCCTGAATTCCCATTACTTCAACCAGAAAGCCTCAAGAGCGCGGGATTGCCATGGAGGGGTTTGTTCAGCAAGAATCCCTCCAGCAAGGGCATTACATAGAAACAAGGGAAGAAAAGGAGGGATGGCCCCAAGCTCTATTCCACCAGAGCTGGTCCACACCACTGCTGGTCTTATACAGACACCCCTCAAGAACTGGGAATAACAGTCAAACGCATCACCTGCAAAAGCAGGTATAATACATGGTGTCCACTCCATTGCATCCACTACACTATATATGCACTTTGGAAAAAAGAGGGAGGGGGGAATTTCAATTTGTTCCCTTTAAAAGCGGGACTAGTGACACTCACCATGTAATCTTAAGAGACTTCCCTTGATTAGATTAACCTGCAGCTGAAGGCTGATATAAGAGATGGTCAAACAAATGGGAGATTTTCTTGCTTAGAAGATGGTGCCTTTAGGAAGTTGGCCTCACATTGAAACATTTTGATTTATTCTCCATCAAGAAGGATCAGCTTGAAATAGATTATTTCATTTTCAGAGAAGGCTGTTCTATATTAGCTGCGTATAAATCCCAAATTAGACCTTTGAATTCCCAAAGCGGATGTTCAGAATGCAGAGCCTTGGCCTGAGCGCTGCCTTGGATGGGATGGCTGCTGCTCAGCGACTCTGAACCACTTTGACCTTCCCTAGCGATGGATACAGAGCCAGCTACTGCCTTGGAACTAAGGGAAACTGCAGCCTCTGAATCCAGACCAGTGCACCTTGCTTGAAACGAGGAAGTCTTCGCTGCCTGGAGCACAGACAATACAGACACCGTTTTACCGGTGGGTGGTGAGCCACGGGGGTAAAGAGCCCATCAGTTAATCTCATTAGCACATCTCATCTCATTCTTGCATATGCTTTCGCATCCTCACACTCAGGAGGAACATCAACAGCACGTGGTTAGCAGGTTATCCAAAACCATATTCTTATGCTTCCCCCTGCCCCAAATCATCTCCTCAGTCTGCTGTAAATCCACTGAGTTCCTTTGGTCTAGAGCAACATTTCTTAAAAATTTAAGCTGGAGGGAGCTTGTTCACATTGCAAACACTTGGATAAAGATTAATATTCTAATACTGAGAAGACTGTAATTAAAGAAGCATCGGGCAGCTTTTCCAGGTGCTCTAAATCTTACAGATATACACCCAAATGACTTGCTCACATATTCCTTCCTTTAGGAAGATATGCTATACTCCTCCCCAAAACATCTGACATTTTAGGAACTAACCTTTAAATGAGTTTCTGGAGCAGTATCTTTCTGGTGATTATAATTTTCCTATACATATGGGAAAAAAAGGAGATACATGATACATATATCATGTATCATTTTGTCTTTTACAAAACCAAAATAATACAGCAATGAATGAATGTGACCATTCTCCATACCATTCATTTGGCCTATGGAAGATGCTCCTGCTCTTCATCTTGTCTGGTTTAACTCTTTAAAAATTGCAACTTTCTTGGGCAAATTAAACCACCAACTCAGTTCCCCGTGTGAATAATTTCTTATTTGTTTCCCATAATAAAAGTGACAAGATTAGGATGGGAAGCATATGTAGCAGGATTAGGTATTACACGATAGATGATTTTTACTAATTGCCACCTATACAATTAAACAGAAGATTTTCTCTGGCACCAATAAGCCTATAAGAACTGAAGCTAATTTTCTTGGTTTCCGAATTCTTCTTTCACTGTTTGAAATTCTGATGACACAGATAAGGCAGAGAAGATGGCATCTGGACTCCTAGGCTTTTTGTCATAGACATATCACAATCTTCCCATGCAATGTCTTGGGCAAATAACTTAAACTTCGTTTTCTCTTGAAGATTACCATCTCTCAACAAGCATGCAGCCACACATTCACATCCATCTTGGTAGGAAGTTGTAGTAATTTCCATAAAGCCCCGCTTTCTGATTAGTTTGTTAACTTTAATAGTAGTCAAATACTGTTGATTCTCATTAAGACGTAGCTCTTTAGATACTAAATTAAGCACACTATCTGATTATTGTCCGAGACAAATCTCTTGAACCTTTTCCCCCTCTTCTCTTGTCTGAGTTTTGACAGTGCAGAAGCAACTGACTGCGCTCTCCTCGGCTCGCCTGACTTCCCCGTGCAGCTTTGGCGAGGACGGGAAGTCACAACCCTTCAAACTGAGGCTGCTTTGACAGCAGTTAGGGCTTGACTGCACGTAGCAAAAAGGTTCTAAAGCTCAAACAGCATTTCCAGCACATCCAAATCTTAACATAAAAATGCTTTTTTTTTTTTTTTTTTTTTTGCTAAATAAAATATTTGTCTGGTCCACTAGCAATCTTATCTATCTTATTCCTGAGAAAGCACAGGTCAAGTTTACTGCAATTCTATTCTAAACAAGAAATAAATTAGTTTCCTTTTCCATATGGTTTCTGACATTTAGAAGGAAGCACACCCAGAGTCCCTAGTAGAGAACAAAAGTTATATGACAGCAGATACGGGAAAAAAAGAAAAAGGATGTACACGAAGGAACACAATAGAGTTCCCTGCCATATCCACCCTGCATAGGAACATATAGCCAAACTGTCTGGAAAACTGTCAGTCTTTGGAGACAGAATAGATACAAGTTAAAAACAGAAGATGTGAAGCCATAGAGCTGTGTCAAGTTTAGAAGACCCGCCTGAACACTGTAAAGAACTGGTGGAAACAAATTATAGAAAGTATTCTATCTCATATGTTTATACAAAACAAGAAGAAAAAAAAAAGCTATCTGTAATATTAAAAATTGTAAAGTGCAGAAATTGTAGAATCTCAAAACTGAATTGTTCGCACTATATAATTTATGTCTAAAAACATCAAATACCTAGAGGAACATGTAATAGGCTAAAATTTCAGTCCTACTCAGTTTCAAGACTTTCAACATCAAGATTTTTAAAGCTAGTTTTTGAACTTTTTTTTTTTTTACTATGACTTCTCTTAGAATCCAGATTTTATACAGCAGAATTTGTTACTAAGTAGAACAACTTTCATTTATCTCCAATACACAGACTCAATTTCAGAAAAACAGCTCATACTCTACATATTTAATCATTTCCTTATGCCTCCTATAATTACTAGCAGTTAGGAAGATAGAAGACTGAACAATCATATACTTTATCAGTGAATTAACTATAGTTCATTTTTCCCCTTTCCCTTCCCTCCCCATCCCTCTCCTCTCTAAAACTGCACAATCAAACAGCACATAAAGGAGCTTATTTACATGGAACACCATCACATTTGTCTTTGTTGGGTCATCACTTCATGGCAACCCAGAACGTATGGCTGTTGAAGACTGGTGCATATTCAGGATTTAACAAATAACAATTCATATGCAGAAAACAGTCACAGAGAGAAAAAAAAAAGCTAATCAAAACACATTACAACATTAGATTTTCACTTTTTATAAATGGAGTAAAGATGCTTTTAAATATATTTACAGTTAGAAAAAGGATTTAGGATTACTACAAGTCAAAATGATTTAGAAGCCATGAAAGTGAAACTGATTTAAATTATCTTTGTAACATGATCAGAGTGAAACTGCAAAACTCCACTGCGTTTGTCTATTCTGTTGTTACTACTGTCAACATCCCTTTAATCATAAATGGGCAAAAATAATTTTGTTTAATGCCGCAACAAGCATCACTGTATTTTAAACACTCGCTAGGTAATATTTACTCCTTCAGCTAGAGCCACCACCACAGCTCAGTCTTTAGATCCTAGCTGACTTGCATTTGTATTTAAAAAAAAAATTGCTTTTTTAAGTCTTATTCCAAAAAGAACAGGGATTTCAAGCAGCCCTTTCCGCACCCTCCTCATTACAAAGATACCTTTACCAAATTCTTGAGATAATTCTCTAGTGACAGCTGAATCATAGCAAATCCACTCAGTTCTCCTCTCCTTCCACACCAAATGGCTACTTATTTCCACAGGTAATAAGAGACCTTTTGTAGGTGGTGCTGGGTGGTTTATTCACATTAACTTAAATGAAACTAGGATTCCCATTTAGCGAACTATAGGTGATAAATTAGTATCTACTTCCAAGGACTAATGAAATGTGTTAGCATTCATTACAGTTGAAACTAGAAGCACATTCCATAAAACATCTTGCAATGAGATTTGCTATCATTAAACTGCTTACTTTAAACAGTTTCATTTCTCTCGTAATCCATTACATCAGTATATTCCGCAAATAGTCCCACCTAAAAATAAAATATAAAAAAATAAAGTTGAGAAGCATGTACTTTTCTTCTTAAAACTAGTGTATGTTATTCTGACCTCCAGCCCAGCCCCCAAAACATTTAAATACTTTAAAATACATTGTTTAAAAGATACTAAGATTTGACCAGGTAATGTCAATGAACAAACATCCTGTTTAGTTAAGATAAAGCAGAATACATAGCAAATAGATCAGTAGTCATCCATCTGAAACAGCCTATAATTAACATTTGATGTCTAAAAAGTTTAAACAGCAACACCAAAGAATGAGGTATGTATGTTCTCAGATTTCACATCAGACTTTCATTTATGCAACTATTTTTTTTTATGCAACTGTATTTCACAACTAGCATCTTACAAAATAGACAGTACCATTGTGCCTGTAGAAGTACTGCATTAAAAACAGAAAAATACATTACTACAAGAAACCACCAAACATCACAACTGTCAGGGGCTACAAAAATCCACCATTTTAGCTGTTAGGAAGATGCATCTTAGATCAGTAATAATTTAGGGCTGTATTCACTATCAAAAGGTCCATCCAAATTTTATATGGGCAAAGAAATATGTATTTTGGATGAAAAGAATCACAGGAAAGTGACTGGACTACCTCACAAAAAGGAGCCAAATGGACTTTTGTACTCAATCTGTAACTTTAAATCTATACATGGATTTTTGTGTATATGTGCATGTGTGCGCATCAAAACACTTATTGGTTGTAAACAAAAATGCAAAATCTGTATTCACAAAAATATTTTATTGGTAATTTTACATAATACCAGATGGGATTGTAAATAGTTCTGCTCTGTTTCAGTCTATTACTAAGTGCCTATATGCTGACAATTTATGCCATAAAGCAGGGTAGGAAGTTTGCTCATATGAGTTATGCCTTATTTTCTAAAGGGCCAAATTAAAATGAAAGAAGGTGATTTCAGAACAAAAAAAAAAGTAATAGTACTGATATTTCCTTATTCTTGTGCAACATCTGATACCTCTGTAATGAAATGATAAGTGACTATGACACTACATAAACTTGGGGCAAGGAAACAGCACTAAGCAGAAAAGAGAATTGTACTTTGGGTTCTTTTTAAAGCTTTTCTAAAACTTCTTATTTCCAGATGTTCGCTTTGCCAAATGCTCAGTCACCTGAGATTCAATACACTTGTTACAGTCCAGCACACCAGTGTACAGTGACAACCTAGTACTTCCCCTGAACTATAAAGCCTTAGAATATCTTCCAATCCTTAGAATATCTTCCGTTTTGCTTGTAAACATTACAATAAGTGTTTTAAGTGTAAATAAAAATGGTAAAACCAGCAACATAACTCAGCAACAGTAACCTAGTCAAATGTGTCAAACATTGGCAAAAATTCATACAAATGTTTTATTTAATAACATTTTCCTATTTAACCACACCAAGTACCAGCAGGTGTTCTTAAGAAGATAATTATTATGAAAATTCTGTTGCAGAAATAATTGATTAGGTTGATCTTTGACTTGCATACATATAACTATGCTTCACAATTCCCAAATAATACATATTTCGGCAGCTTGAACTATGTTATAAAAATTTAAATTCCGTACATGCCAATAGTAGAGAATCCAAGAGCTGTGTTAGAATTCACTAAACTAAAAGTGAAAATGGACTTACCAATAACACTGCATAATGAACATTCAAACCACATTTTCATGGCACCTTTACACTTGAAGATTAAAAAAAGTTGATCTGAAAATGCTCTGCGAGCACTAGTAGATTGCATTTAAGTTATCATTTCTATGACTGCATTTTTTAACTGCATAAACTATGTTCCAGTAAACATATCAATTGTGCACGGATAATCTGTCATGAAAATGTGGTAGCAGGTGGCAGAAGTTATGTATTTTCATGTTTTGAAGAGAAGAGACTAAGAAGAGACTGGAAGAAATAAACTTTAATGAGATTCTCCATTCAGTGATGAAGCTTCTCCTCTGGGTGAGGATGACCTGGACATTCCCCTCTCTGTGTTGTCAGAGCTAGAGCCGCTCTGACTGTGTTGATCCGCAGAAGCTGCACTGGAAGCAGGTGGTGACTTCGTTTTCTCCTTAAAGTCTGTAATTATGACTGTCAGATCTCCAACGGTAACTTCCAAATGCTGAGCACTACTTCGATCCACATTTTTCAACCTTGGCCTAAACAAAACAGATAATCATATTAAAAGCACCCAAACCCTCGTATTATCTTGTCCTCCTCTTTTTTTATGCACTTGGGAGCAGATAAATGTAACACCAGCATCATTCTGCTGTGTGGAACAAGTAATACATAACATAGTAACATACCACATGTACTTGCTATAAAGTATTCCCAGTTAAGTTTTACATCAAAATGGCTGTAATACAGAGACAGATGAAAATAAGGTTGCCCTCCCCACCTTTTCCAAAGATTAAAACTTGACCTTTTGGGTAACTGCGCAGCAATACAGTTTTGTTACACATAAAGGTTTCTGATTTTTAAAAACTGTCTTTTGTTATTGTGGCTATAAAGTTATGACCCAGAGAAACGGCCTAAAACAATTCCAAGCAGAAAACACTGTTTAATAATGAAAATGTTGATGTCTTAAAAGTTCATCTGTGCTTTTTGAATTCAACAGCACTGATAATTTTAAAGACAAATTCTGAAAGTGCTAGTTTGCAGCAGGTTTATTTCCTTTCAAAATCTCACAAAGACTAATATATAGTTTAGATTGGATTTTGTGTTTGGAGTATAATTCTGGTATCCCTAGCAAATGCTGTGATTTCAGTTATGCACAGATCTCTGTATTATGCACAGTGCTGCTGGTCAATTCTCTTCATCTAATCTTCCCATCATTTGATATAGACTCAGAGAAGAGTACCATGAATTATATTCTGTGCAAGCTGTTGCGAACATCGTGGCTTTATACATTTAACTGGCTCCACAGCTTTCACCAGGTCTAGCTGCAAAAAATGAAATTAATATCAGAGTACATGTTAGTAGGTGTTTTAACAGCAAAGTCCTAACTTTTACTCTTTGCTTCAAGCAGAATTCCAGTAGTCCCAGTCATTTCAGCTGAAACACCTCATGCCCTCCCTCTGCTAGACAGAGATAGGATTTGACATCTTGTTCCCCAGAGACTGAAGAATCTAAGAGAGGGCTGAAAATCTGCTGCTCTGTAATATGGGAACAAAGAGGAAAAACAAACAAAACCCAGCATTATAAACCTGCATAGAAGTCCCACAGCTAGTTGTTTCTAGTATTTATTCTTCATGCAATTCTCTAGTCTGTATTTTTGACCAAAATTTCTGTATCAGTGTTCTCCATTTTTCCTTCTCACTTTTGCATTTTTAATGTAATGTTGCAATTTAACCTTTAATATTTACATTTATAATGCCTAGTTAGCTTTGTTAAAACTTGCTATATTAACTTCAGACATTTTATAACAGAAATATTTTAGCTGAGAGTGCTGTACAGTTAGAAATTGTGACTATAAAAAAGACAAGGAAAATAAATATATGCATTCACCTGCTGTCTCCTTAGTCTTAACCACATTTCTCTTAAAGAGTCTTATGGAACTTTTCTCTAGTCTCACAAATTCTTCCTGGTTCTGATATCCTATTGCAGGCACAGAGAAGTATTTGCTACTTCTCCACAGATCTGATCTCAAGAAACCTTCTTCACTGGGCTGCTGTGGAAAGCTCTCTCTAAGATTCCAAGAGCTTTAAGGTTTCCTTCAGTATCCTGAATGTGGTACAGGGATTTTTGATTCATTAGAAAATTTACATGCCTTGCCCTGTCACAATTAATACCTTAGTTTAGCCTCCAAAATTCATTCTACATTTGCAAGGCTATCAATGACTGTTACTTTCCTATTATTTCTGGAACCAAAAAATGAATCTTTGTTTCTTTCCTGTTATTCTGCATAAAACTAGTTGCTCTCTTTACTTCTCTTTTCCAAAACCAAGTGTCATCCCTTTTGCCTATCCATGGTTTCATACGGTGTGAGAGACATCTGTTCCCCTTAGCAAAAGTACCCAATTCCCTCTTTCATTCTCAGCTGATCTCCATCTTCTGGTCAAAGTTCTGAACTGCAGGTTTTCTTCACATTTAATAGGCAGCCTAAAAAACAATGAAACTTTAACACAACTATTTAGCCTCATTTTGGAAAGAGTTTACCACAGCACTCACAGAGCAGTAAAATGCAGAGCATTTTCTTACTTTTTCATTATTATATTTACCAATACTACAAAAGTTTCTAAAAAATTTACCTGGTTTTCTTATGACTGTTCTTTTTGCTAGTTGTTTCCTTTTCACTTTTTTCCTTTTCTACTTTGTCTTTTTTCTCTTTCTTTGACTGTGTAGGGGGCACGAATTGCTGGGGAACCTGTTGTGCAACCAGCTGAGAAACAGGTCGAGGTTTCCTGTGTGCACATACATACACATACACATAATGCTTAGACTTTACAACATCAGTCTCAAAACTCTCTGCACTTTGATTATTAACAGCAACATTCAGTACACAATCAAATACCGATACGACTTATCCAGCTGCCATCGTTTCATTAGAACACCACACCGAATTTAAACCACGGCAGCCTTTTGATTCGCTTTTTGTTAGGAACAACAGATTTTATTTTATTTTATTTTATTTTATTTTATTTTATTTTATTTTATTTTATTTTATTTTATTTTATTCTATTTTTCCTGCAGGATTTAAAGATAGGGCTTTTCAAGGTACCCTCTTCCTCCAGCTGTTAAACCCAGGCTTACAGGGAGCTGAAGCTCTGGGAGGGAACCCGCTTCTCCCTTCCCAAAGGAGGAGCGGAGGCAGCCGCGGCTCCTGTCACCACATACCCCCAAACCCTCAAAGTTACCGCCACCATAAGCTGGACAGAGCAAAACTTACTCTTCCAACTCGTGTTCCCCCAAAGCAACGGCAAATCCTGCTGAAAGGCGCTTCCTTTTTATCAGGTTCTTGGCTGGAGGCAACGCACTCTAGCAGCCTCCGGCTGTGGCCGTCGGGACACGCGCGCTCCACATGGAGGCCACGGAAGCTTCCGGACTTCCAACACCCAACACTGCTTTTTCCCCCTCAACTAAATCCGAACTAAAAACAGTTTACTAATTGTATATTTGCTGAAATACGGATATGTTTTCCTTCGAAAATTGCCTCTTTTTTATTTTATTCATTATTAGAGTACAAGGATTTTAATAGGAAATGAGATGTTTTCCTCTTTCCAAGAGTTTATCTGGTACCTAATAATGTAAAACAAATGAAAAAGCCAAAGAGGAGGGGGAAAAAAAAACCCCATGCCACAAGGAACTGAAGTCAATTAAGACCAAAAACACTTGGGAAGACGCACTAAAAATAAATCCAGAAGCTCTGCATGGTTTTGTTGCAACAAGGTATTCCGTTGAATGTGTTTTATTCCTCCTGACGTAATATCCATCCTTAATTTTGAGATATATTTTCACTTGGGATATATTTTCACAGAATATTCACAGAATATTTTTGGCCTAACTTCCTCTCACCAAACCAGACTGGACTGTTTATGTTCTCACTTGCTCTGAAACATATTCCCTTTCACTGATAAATATGGAAAATCCTCATCTGTCGAATGTATATTTGATTTGTCAGTTCCTGCTGAAGTTTGGTGTCAATTATGCTATGTATATTCATTCCTAAATGACACATTCAGTTCTTTTAAAAAAATCATTAAGAAAAGCAATGAATTCACATCTCTCAACACTGATTTATCCTTTCAAATGTTCCATTACTTGCTCAGCTACTCAGGAGGAGCTAAGGAACTGCAAACGCCTTGCCAGCCATGCAGCTTCACCAGGTGACTGCACCACTCGGGAAGGTTTGAGCCAAGGGACCAGTTCATGACTTCGAGTAGCTCAGTGATGTCTTTCAAGCAGGATTTTATACAGAGAAAGGCCATCTTGTAGAGAAAAAAAGGGCAAGGGAAGACGCTATACTGCAACAAAAGTCATTTTTGATAATTCACCAAAATACAACATTTTGAACTACGTTTTTTCAAAAACACAGTTAAAGACTCTGGTTTAACAGGCTACTTTAGATTAAGTAAATATAGACGGTGTTAACATTGCTGTTTAATTCAACATCTCATAATACTTTGCTTCTTGAACATATTCAGAACAGAGCAGTTCATGAATGTGAGGTGTGTTACTCGTTTACATGTACGGTCTTCAAAACTGCACTTTCCTCTCATAATCTCATTTCAATTGTTACAGGTGAAACCAAGAGACGATTACAAAAGATAAAAGCTCCCCATTCTTTCCAGGAGAGATGAAGACCATGGTCTGGATCCATGCACTCTAACAATACCAATGGACTAAGCTAAGCTTTTCTTTTTCAAGAGGACTCTAAGCATCACAGATTCAGTTATTAGGCCTCTCTAGCACTCGTGTTCTCCTTTTTAGACACAATTACCTTTCTTCTAAGCTGCCATCAGCCTGCTTCTACTGAAGCACATTTCTATTCCACATCTCTATTAGCACATTCCTTTTGCGGACCTGTGAAAGTGCACGTTTTATATAAAACCGATGCCGTAAAACGCATTTTTTTAAGCAAGAAAGAGCCAACAGACACTAATACAAACATTCAAGAACAGCTCTGTTGTTTCCCTACAAATCCCATGAATGCTAATCGACGAGGATATTACCATCATTTAAGCCATGTTTACTCTGTTTTTCTTTTTGCAGAATATGACTGCATTTTATTTTATGGGATTTGGTATTGCTGCTGTTCGAGGGGATGTATTTACAGAAGCCGCAGAGAATTGTTTATTTAGGATATCTGTGCATTAACTCATTCGGCGCTGATGCGCCTAATGGGAGCATATAATTAATACCAAGAAGGATGTGCTAGTTTTTGTTGCTGGCTTTCTAAGAAAGGCTTTATACCAAAGCAATTTACAGGCCTATCTAGACATGAAAAATATCTGGAACTTGAGCAATGGGAAAGAGAAATGGCTTGAGGGCACAACTCAATACCTTCTTTTTCTTACATCACTTGGGACTTCTCAAGCAGTCCTTCCTTAATCTCCCCCACCCTGATCTTCATCAATAATCCCCCCCCCCCCCCCCCCCGAGGAATTTTAACCGGTTTGGGATGTTACATTACAACAAAGTAGATCAGCTTGGAAACCAAACCCCACCTCCCACATCTTCCTTCCCCAGAGCAAGGCAGCGTGCAGGGTTTCACACTCGGTTATCAGCACATGCAGAAGGACGGGCAGCCCTCAGTGAGCCCAGCCGCACATCAGACGTGCAGTGGGCCAAGCAAACAGGCTACGCAGCTGGCGCCTGGCTGAATTTATTTCACTCAGGCCCCTAGGGCACAACTGCATTTACACGGGGGGTGCTACTTCTACAGCCAGTTGGGTCCATAAGCAACGTGAAGTCTGTTGCGTTGCCCAGAGTCTCAGCTGGGTTTCTGACTGCCACAAACTGTTTACGTGCTGAACCTCCTCTATGGTCCATGCACTGCAGCCTGGAAACAAAGAGGAGGATCTGTAAGTTTTGCATGGACCAACTGCAAACCTAACCAAGTCCAAACCGATCCCAAGCCATTTGGGATGGTGGGATGGTATGAGGCTTCCCTGCATGTGGGACTCGGTGAAGATTCACCCCTTTGGTGCCACACACCGTGGGCTCACAGAGCTGGCCACAGCTGCTGAGCAGCACGGAGAGAATCCCAGTCACAGAATGGCTGAGGTTGGAAGGGACCTCTAGAGATCATCTAGTCCAACCCCCTGCTCCTGGAGGGGACATGAATGGTCTCCAGCAGAGCAGCCCCCCGAGCCCTGGGGCTGGACCCAGCCGCACGGGTCTTGCCTGGCCCCTGAGAAGCCCTGTGCTCCCCTGCCCAGGATGCCAAACAGTCTCCTCCTCTCGCTGTCCCAACTCTCCCGCCTCCCATCGCTCCCACTAATCCATCCCAGCTGACAAATGCTCTTCTGGAAATGTTGAAGAAAGGCACGTGCCTCGGCAGGCCGGGCCGAAGGCTGCAGAGGCCCCATGCACGATTTCTTCTTCTGGTGGATGAAGCAGCGTAATGCATGTCCCTTAAGGGGCTCTTAGCAATCTTCTGCATGGAAAGCTGGACGAGGTAACTAAATCTCACACACTTTTCAACCTATTGGGGGACTAAGGTCTTCATGTTGTCTTCTATAGTATGCACTTTACGGGGTAAATACTATGAAAATATGAAAAATAAATGGTGGAGACATCCTCAAATGCACACTCTTCCTTGAAGCTAAACCTCTTATGTTTCATACATTTTCCTTTCCGAAGGCATTAAACACTACTGCCCAAACTTAGCAGAATATCCTGAGTTAAAGCAGAACAATGCCATTTCCATCAAGCTGAAAAACATTCTTCAACAGATGACCAGGACCCAGAATTAATATCCCCCCACTAGAGCTTTCATTCCAATGAGCCCTTCCCTTTCCTCCTCTCAGGTTCATCTATCTCCTGGCTGCAATTCAGACAAAGATCCCTTGCCAGAAGCTTATCCTGTTCCAAGTAGCAAATTATGCATTTCTTAAAGCAAAGCGCTACACATGCAAAATAACTAAAGGCTTTTAGAATCAAGTATGTTCAGTCAAATGTTTCAGTCTACATCTCTGGTCAGTTTACTTGTCTCACTTCTCCTTTGATAACTAGCGCAATATTCGAGTCTGCTTCGACTTCTCTATAAATGAACAGATACAATTGTGCTTTAAGTTCACTGAATTCCTAAGAAATTACATATATCCTGCTCCATCCTGGAAATCAGGGAGAAGTTGCTGGCCATTATGCTGTAACTATACAGTATGCAATGGTTGCAGCCTAATAAGCCACCAATCTGGTTTTGTTTCATTGACTCACGTTTCTCTTTCGGATATTAGGAAGCGACCTCTGAGTGACAGAAGAATTGAACGAGGCAGACAAGATGTTCACACTGTCAAATTACACTCTCCATCAGAGCAGCTCTAGCCTCCACACTTATCACACGTATCTTATTTCCTGTCATATTTTCATTCGCAGGAAAGACCAGTTCTCCTCAGAAAAAAGTGCTGTATTTTTTCAAAGTTCACCATTTATTTCTCTGTAGATCCTCTATGTGGTATATTCTGTAACTTTCCCTTGTCACACGATTTTATCTTCTTTCTTCTTCTGTAAAAGATCATCGTTACTTAACAAGTAAGTTTCACAGGCCTGGACAGACTTTCTCCAAAGGACCCCTAATCTCTAAGCAGCCCTACTTATCTAAACTTCTCCCCGCAGGGAGACACTGACCTTTTGTTCAGGACAGCAGACTCATCCCTCAAGAAAGAGAGCTTAGAAATATTTGGAACAGAAACCTAACTGCTGTGGTCCTGTCCCTGGGCACAGCATGCTTTTTCTCCAA